TGACACTCCATCGCAGAATGTGATAGGTATGCCAGGGATAGATTTGAAACTTTTGAAGGAGAGGACATTGACAAATCACTCCCCAAGATAAAATGGTCCAAAATCTTGGGGTTTGTAAACAGGTCCAAGAGGTTTATGCAGGACTCGTGAGCCGACCAAGTCCCGGACCTTTTAGTGATGGAGTACGAGTCTACCCAGGCATTTAACCCCTCGGGTCTTGGTCGCCCACCCTGCATAATATATATATATATACCCCATCGACCATCAATTAGCTTACTTATATAGTAGGGTGATATATAGATGTATTAAGCACCCTTTAAGAGCTATTGTATCTCTCTATTCTTAAAGTTCTATTCTTAAAGCACATGTGTAAGTCCTAGTTCATCAAGGAATTTGATTAGTAGTCCCGATTTCAGTGGTCGGAACTCTTATGCGGTTACATTGTAGGTCCCAAAACACTTCCTCCTGTGAGCAAGTGTAGCACCACAGTTTGTTAGTAGGTATGTTGGTGTTTCTTCTGCTTCTTTGCAGAATCTGCACATGCCATGTTGCCAATCTTTTTTAGTCCATTTAGTTTGCAGTGTCCTGTTAAGTATCCTATTTTTCCTGCTTTAGTAGGGTGATGGAGGAATATCAAGTAAGTATACCACCATCCTAATTGAGTGAATGGTAATAGTAAATAGCCCATGTTTAAGTATGTAACGCAGGACTGTTGGATTTAAACCCGGGACCCATACCTTACAGTGATGTGAGCCACGTCAACACCTAAACTGTTGCATGTCCCCTTGAATATAAAAATATTAAAAAAGTTATTACAAAAATTCTGAGGGAAAAGTTTGGACCAACAATGAACACTCAAAGGCTTTTTCTTATAAAATGGATGTAAAGCAGGGATGTGTACTTATCCCTATTCTCTTTTCATCTTATTAAATGATCTAGAAGATAATTTATTGGGAGGAGCGAATATCAGTAATTGGAAAATAAAAATGTTGATGTTTGCTCATGACAATGTGGTGTTGGTAGCAACTGCCTCACCACAGGAATAGATTTGGAAGAACATTGTAACAATGGAATTTAAGTGTTAACTGAAATGAATCACAAATCGTGGTATTTATGAGGGGGGGAAATTAGGAAGGAATGAGAGGTGTTTTATTTTATTTTTATTTTTTATTTAATTTTGTAAACAGAAAGTTCAGTGTGTGGATATAAATATTTTCATGAACTCTGGATCAAGGTATGGATTTGAAAAAAAAAAAATGAAAAAAGCAAATTCAGTTGTTACTGCCATGATTTCGAACTATTTTAAGGTTATCGTCAGGGTAAAACCATCTTAAATACGTCTACAAATTGACATATTTTAGATTTATTTTAGAAATATTATTAGAGAAATTTTATTTAAAAGATTACAATTAATTGGTAAAGTGGACCACGAAATTAGTGAATTTATTTAAAAGGTTGGTGAGGAAAAGAAAACCAGTGTTCCATAGCATAAATATTTCTTTATTTAGTATGTTTTGAGGCTCATTGGCCCACACTGAGTCATACTTCAATGTGAGTCAATTGACATTTTTATGTAATACAACTATGGGCTAGATAAAAGTCACTGGATAGTTCATTCAAAAGGTACTCGTTTTTCCAATGGTTCGGTGAAACATGCACCACCCGGTATATTTATCTTTAGTCTGTATCTGATAGTTGACAACCTTAGGTACAAACGAGAGGCATTTACTATTCTTATAAAAGCTGAGAGTCAGCAACCAGAAAGAGACGCACAAATGGGGCAGAGGGTACTTACAAGTCTTCCCTGGTCTTCTCAAACACTCTCAATCCAGATAAAATTAAGTTTTTTTTCCAAAATCGAATAAACTGTTTAATTTAAATTGATTGATTACATTGATGATATAACATTTATCTTACCTTTTGGGAGCAGAGTTAGTGTCTAAAACCCAATACAATTTTTAATGTTCGTTATTATCGTAATAAATCTACACAAAGTTCCATTTATTTTTCTTAATCTGGTATATTTTTTGACTTTTGATTACAGATGTATGTAATAATTTTACCTCAACAATTACTGTGACATTAAAAAAAAGTTTTGACTTATTTTTGCAAAAAAGTGGGTGTCACATTGAAAAAATAAGTAACTATTACAATGTGTGGTGAAGATGATCTCAATAAAGATCGAAACGTTGGCACGATAAAGAAAATGTTTTTCTGAAACCTACATCACACCAGACCACATCTCACGAGTTCTAAATAACTATTACAATGTCTGAAAGTAGACCTTATAAAACAAAAAAGTATTTTCTAGGGTGAATAGTTTTTGAGGGGGAGCACTAGTAAGTTGACACCCTATATGTAAGTGGAAATTAGGTGATTGTCGAACATTTACATCTAAATTGAAATTGTTTATAATGCTAGGGCACCCACTACTTCCTGAAATAAAATTGTATGTAATATTTTTAAATGATAATTGTTCTTCCTTTTTTAATTTGACCAGATGAATCCCATGAAGCTATTAGTAAATTAGTTTTGGGGGCAGAGTCAGTGAAGTTTTCCATAATTTGTAGTTTTGAGTAGTGGTAGACTGTTGAAGAATGACTTCCTTCTCGCACGATGGTGTAAGTTGATTAATAGTTGGTGTGAACAATGATAATATTGTACTTTCTTGTAACCAGCAGTTAAGTATTTAATTGAGTCACTGTTAGAATTTAGCATGTAATTTATGTTTGGTATAATTTTTACAAATGTTGATTGTTCCCTTGTGGGAATAGGGAGCATATAATTCAATTCATAAGTAGTTTCTGAATTAATTGGTAACAATAAAAAATATACAATTTCATTTTTTGTTAACTTACAATTAATGTCTAACAAATGTTCAAATAATAGTATATTTTATATTCCACTGGGAATGGCATTTGATTGCTATAATGATAATAGTGATTTTAGTTTACAAAAGGTTAGAGAATTTTCTATATCTTGAAATTGGTTAAACGTTGAAATTAACAGTGTTTGTAATTGGTATAATAATTCTTTTATTCTCTGGACATCAGCACTATTTTTGATTTTTAAATTTAATAGCAATATTTTATCTTTCAGTTCCAAATTGTTTGAATATTTTGCAAAATTTTATTATGGGCTTGTATAATACTATAATTTATAGAGTATTCTAAAGTTGAATGTTTAAATTATGTTCGTTTTCATTTATGTAATCTAAAAGTTTGTCATACCTTTCTGCGTCATTGTAATCTAAGTTTCTGGTTATAGTTTTAATGATGGTGCCTAAACCGTAAATCAAGCTGCATTTGGTTCTTCTGTTAGTGGAGTGTGTTTTAAAATTATTTGGAGTTCGTGAGATGCGGT